TTGTAAAATGCATTCCTATTTTGGAAGTCCTAAACTAAACAGGGTCTTTTCCTTAAACAGGTTCGTTCTTGGGTGATTTCATATTTCTTCTTTTTTTCTTCTATTTTCCCATGAAGGCAGATACATTGAGCCCAACCCAATCTAAGGCAGGTTTGCCTTAGGAAACTTGTCTGCTGTAGAACAAGGAGAAAAGAGATAGATCAGATTGTAGTGATGACTTCTTGTAGTGATGACTACTTCCCTACTTGTAGTGTAGGGATGACTTCTAGTCCTGGAATAAAGACATCTTCGTTTTGTGATGCTATGCTGTTCTGTGACTCTAGCTCCTGCAAAATGAGACAGAGGTGAAATCTTAGAATAAAAGTTTTCAAATGCAATTAATTGTTCATTAATATCCAGGAGTGGCAGATATATGAAGTTTTTCTTTTCAGGGCAGGTCAAAGATGAGAATTGATTATGCTTCTAAGAGTGTTATTTGCTTCTTGAAATTTCCTCTGGTATCTTTAACAATGTGTTGCCCAGAGAAGCATAAGAGGCATTGTCTAACGAAGAGAAGGTGCACTCCAATGCATATATAGAGGCAAGAAACAGGGGCAGCAGTGGAGAAAGTCAGACGGAGCCTGCACAATGAAGAAGCAGAGTAAGAAGGAGGCAGCCCCACAGTGTGAGCTAAGTAAGTAGCCAGAAAGTAAATATACAACAACCCAGGGAATCTACCCACCAGAGCAGACGTGGAACATGACAAGGATGCCTTCAGCCATTTTATTTTCTAGTTGCAGTAGAAGTTCCCAAAGGAAAGGTTCTGTTCTGGAGGGACTTCATTAAGCCTTTCTGAAACTCCCCGTATGTGTTGCAGAGAGATTCTCAGAATTAATTTGTGCATTTTCTTTTCTCTCTAGGAGAAATTCTATATGTAAACCCGCCTGTATCAGATGACTGATCATCATCAGACCAGTTTTTTGCGTCCCTGAATTTGCCTGTACTTGGTATTTTATTTGGATTTTGCTTTTTGCAGTTTACTTTCTTTTACTCTTCTCTTGGACTCCTTTATCAACTAATAAAAATTTCTCCTAGCAGTTTTTACACGAAGAAAGATGTTGGAGGGTTTTATGCTTTTCTTCTCTAGGTCTATGATTTGTTTAGATAAGCTTGGTTACCTTTAAGGAAAGCGGTTATGGGGCGATGTGGGGGCCGGGAGAGAGAGGGGTCTAAGAGTGTTTCAGGTAGCCGTAAACGACATTGTAGAAAATTAGGGCGGTTAGTCAGACTATTTTCTCCCTTCTGAAGCATCGCTAGCCTGGTCGTCATCTTCAGAGAAAGACTCTGGGATGTGCGATTGAAACTGGGAATGGAGCGGGACTGCTTTTGGGTAGGTGGAAAATAAAGTTTGGGAGAAGCAAGGCATCTGAGTAGCAGAGAGGAAAACAATTCATTGCGAGACTTGGGAGTAAGGCACCTGACGCAGCCGAACTGGCTGCACTAGCTGATGCTTCGCGGTCCCTCCCAGGTGTGGGGCGCTCTTAGTGGGGCCGCAGATACTATGATGTGGCTCTGGGGGCGAGAGGCGGCTATACTTTGCAGGGTGGAGCTGGAACTCTCACAGAGCCGTGTCTCAGAAGAAATGATCTTGTCTCCCAGGGCCTAACGTGAGGCCACGGCGAACTACAGCAGGAAACTTACTCGTCTGCAGGTTGCTAGCGGGGTGGGAGACTCCACAACAGTGTGGGTTGGACCAGCTCCAGCACTAGCTCGGCCGCAGACAGCTCCCGTCCAGGCCTCCGTGGCCCCGCCCCCAGTCAGCCTTGGTGGGCGGAGACTCGGGATCCGTCGTCAGCCTGCCACGCGCGTTGGCCGCTACGGCGAACAAGGAGAGTCCAGCCAATAGGAACGTGCAGCTGCGATCCTGTCGGCCAATCGCGGGGCGTGTAGGGGGAAGGCTGGCGTGGCGCTGGCTCCCGGGACATGGAGCCGCTGGCGCGGGGATCGATTGTCAGGTGGTTGCGGAGCCGGTAAGGTGGGGAGCGGGCCAGGTCAGGGGTCACGCGGGCGCCCCGCTTTCCCCGGGCTCCGGGTGGCTCGAGGGCCAGCCTGGGAGCAGGCGCCGCGGCCAGTATTTGGCGTGCGGGGCGCCGGGCGGGTCTGCGAGGGGCGGCGCGGGCCGGGAGGGCCTGGACGCGGGTTCCAGATGGAGCCGCATTCTTCAAAGAAAGAGCGAGGGGAGGGCGCCGGGAGCGGGGGGCGGGAAGCGAACGCCGGAGGTCGCAGGGGCCTCGCCCCTTCCCCGCCGCGGCCTAAAGAGACCTAAAGAGAAAATGGCTGTATCCCTGGGCGGACCTGCGGCGTTCCGGGGACCCGTGGTCGAAGGTCTGCTGACCCCGCTTCACGCCGCGGGAGAGGCCGACAGACGCGGGGCAGGGTCCGCTCGGCCTCCTTCTTATCTTCGGAGCCCTGGTGTCCTGTCCGCTCCCTGGGCCTCCCGCCGCCGCACTTCAGCGAAAGAATTCATTTTACTACAGGCGACATCCAAGAAGCGCCTCTTCGTGTGAAGGGCCTGGACAGACCGCTGAGTCCTGGTGTGTAGATCGGTTTTAGGGCTGTTGTGCAGCCTCGAGGCTCAGGAATTTTTGTAGGGGCGTTGTCGCGCTCCGTGTGTGAGAAGGGTGGCTGGCTGCTCGACGTCTGTTCGGTTTCATAGGTTCCTGGTGTTACAGTTATGTTTACTTCTGGATGTTCTGTTTTTGTTTGTTTTGTTTTCAATTGGTCTCCCCCAGTTCTCTTCACATATCAGACTATTTCAAAGAGCATCATTGAAGGAGAAGTTGAGTAACCTGGACTTGAGTTTTCCTGTGTGTAAAGATATTCCCATGCCGTCCACTGCTTTCGTAAGGAGTGTTATGAAGTTAAGGGAATGTGACACCTCTTTAAAGTGAAAATCAAAAGCAAAAATCCTAGGGAATGCGAGGCAAGAGGAGACAGGTTTCCAGAAACTTTTGCTGGCCATAGTTCTAGTGAATAAGGCTGCAACTAGGGGACCTTGTGTTTCTCCCTTGATTCCCGTGGAATCTGAACCCCAACTAGTCTTGGCTCTGTAAACCTTTGAGCAAGATTCTTAGCCTCTTTGTTCCTTTGTTTCCACATACTTAAAATGGGGATTGATATCAGTCTTAAAGAGCTGATGGTGAGTATTGAATTAATACGGATAAAGGGCTCAGAACATTTCCTAGCATGTAGGAGTTTTCGTTATTCCCTATAAGTGCCTTCTTTTCCCTAAAAGATTGCACAATAAAGGAATTCTGATCCCCTGAACCTATTGCCCGTGAACCCTTAGGCCTGTTTTTCATCCTTGTCATTCATTACCTGAGGGTATAATATGATTACCTGTGACAATAGACTTTCTGCTGAGTTTATTTTATCATTAAGTAAGACGGGAAACTACAGCTATGCAGTACTGGGTCTGTCCATGATAGCTATGTTGGGTAAATGAAAACTTTGTTTAGTTTTTATTGGATAATATGTCATTTATAGTCTTGGCCTAGGCCAGTTTTGTTTTGTTTTTTTTTTTAAGTCAATGCCCAAAAGACCATGATTGCAGCAGACTTGGTTCCTTCTGTTTCTGGGATGGCTGTGGGACTTGGGTGGAGAATTTTTGGGCAGCCTGGCTACACTTCTTGTTAGTGAATGGGGAAGCTGTACATAAATCTTACTCTACTGTTAGAAAGTCAGCAGTGGTCCCTTGGAATATATACAGAGATACTAAGCAGCTTTGGTTGATTTTTTTCTTTTTAAACATTTACTTATTTTGTTTATTATTTATCTGACTGCATGGAGTCTCAGCTGTGATGCTCTGGTTTCTCTCTGTGGTGCTGGCTCAGTAGTTGCCTTTGCATGTGGGATCTTAGCTCCCCAACTGGGGATCAAACCTGCATTTCTTGTTGGAAAGTGGACTCTTCAAACCACTGGACCATCAGGGAAGTCCTTGGTTCAGTTTTGACTCAGTGAAGTGATGGTTAGAGGTTACGCACTGGTATTTACAGAGCAACATCTTTTCTAATATTTGACTTTTAATGCTAAGAGCTTGGGTGGGTGCTGTGAAATCAAAGATATCTTTATCCCCTATTTCCTTATTGTGTATATAAAGAGAAATGTCTGCTGACAGACTTACGCTCTTTATGTAAGCTTAAAAGTTTCTCTCAGGTTCTCTTGCTACTATTTGGAAAGCTCTAAAGATTTGGAAAGCTCTAAAGAAAGACTTCTGTCTGAGGTTCTCTCCTTCCAAAAAGCTGCTGTTTATATAGGTAGCAGAATTGGGACCTACTTGCAAAATGAGAAACTTTGAGTTTACAAAAAAGAACATCATTTAGTTCATAATATGCTGGCCTGATTTGACTGAAGTACATATGGTGTAAATTCAATTATTTTTTTTACTAGATGAATTAAGATTTTTAGTTGGAGTTTCAACATCAAAGTCTCCAAATTAATAGAATGAATATACAGAAAAGTAGAAGGATACAGTAGACCTGAAAAGCACTGTAAAGCAATTCAAGATAATTAAGATTTATTTAATTTTCACACAACAGTAGGATACAAATTCTATTCATGTTCCCATAGACTATAAACTAGGAGACACTGGAACATATCTGGGAACATAAAACAATGTGCAAAAATTTCATGATCTAAAGGTATTAAAATCATACAGAGTCTGTTCTGTTATCACTGTGGAATCATGTTAGAAATCAATATCGAAAGATAATTGCAAATAACCCACATATTTTCAAGTGCAGTGTGACATTTGCCAAGGGAGATCTTTGATTTAGCCATTGAAAGTCTCAATAAAGTTAGACTGAAAAAAACAGAGGAGGTGATTTCAGAGGAAAAAGCATTTAAATAAGAAATTAGTATAAAAAAATATTAAAGATACTTTAAACAAAATCCCATGTTTAAACAAAATTTTCATGTGGAAATTAAATGTCCACTTTTAAATGATGGGTTCTTTATCTGAGAAGACTTAACAAGGAAAATTAGAAAATATTTGTAATAAAATAAAAATGAAAAGACTGTTTGCCAAGATTTGTTGCATGAAGCTGAAGCTGCTCAAGGGAGTTAAATACAGTGTGGAGTCTTGAATAAGGTATAAAAACAAATAATGGACATGCATATAATTTTGTGAAACCTGACTTAATGTTCTGATGAAAAAGTTGGAATCTAGGGAGTTCCCTATTGCCCCAGTGGTTAAGATTCAGTGCTTTTGCTGTCAGACTGGAGTTCCATCCTTGTTCTGGAAACTAAGATCCTACAAGCTGCATGGCGCAGCAAAAAAAAAGAAGTTGAAATCTAGAATCCATTTTCTCTCTTGACAGAGATTTCACAGAAAAGATTAGGCTTATTGTGTTTTATTAGCTCTGTAAGTAATTATGAGACTAATCATTTAGAATACTAATAGTAAAAATTTATTTAAATTTTAATTTATTAAAAATTTTGTCTTGAGATACTTTTGTTTAAAATTATTTTACAAGCACCTTTTCACACTTCATACTTGGAGAAAAAGCACACTACTATCAATTGTTTACTTTTCAGAGATAAGCTTTAAAGGCCTGTTGTGAATAGGAATTTTCCTTAATTGTATTGAAGACTTCGGTGCCTTCTGAAACAGGATATCAGTCATCACAACAAAAATAATCTGTTAATAATTGAATTGGTTCCTCATGAGTAGGTCAGAAATTAGAAACTTTTAATAATAATAACAATGTTAATAATAATGTTCTTTTAGAAATAACTGCTCTTAATACTTTGGACACTTCTATTTTATTTTATTTAATTAATTTATTTTTTGGTAGGGGAGTTCTTATGTTTTCTAAATTAGCATGAGGGGCTATGTTTCACACTCCAGAAGATACCCTGCCACACCCCTACCCCCACCACCGGCTTCTGAGAAAATTGAAACTTGAGCTCAGTTGAGTTGTTTGTTGGATCAAAAAGAGTTACAGATTCTATCCTTAAAAACCCATCAAAATGAGGGGAAGTCAGTCTTTTAAATATTTGGATTAATCTGGAGGCAAAGGCAGAGACTGAGTGATTGCCTGCAGGGCTCTCTGTGGAGGCTGATTAAAACCTGTTTGCCTACTTCCCAGAAATACTTTTTACTTCAGTTTGGTTTTGAATTCTTGCCACCAAAAACATGATTAAGACTTTTACATTTTTTCTATTAAACATCTCTTAATCATATTCTGAAAACTGCGATTATTTTCAGGGTTATCTAATTCAGTAGAACAATTATTCATTTCATACAATAAGGGTTCAGTCATACAGAGTCACAGAATGCTTGTTTTGAACTTTTTTTTATTTGTTCTTGCTAATTCCACTCCCTCTTGTCTCTCCTTTCCAGAATCCTATTCTATGAACTCAGACACTCAGGTATCCTCCATAGTATTGGGACCTACATCTTCTGTTCAGATACCTGTTCCAGATGGTAATTTATTGCTTTGTGCTATTGACTCGTTTTTGTTTGGAATTAGGCTTAAGCCAGTAACAAATTTACCATATTGTCCTTCTTGTTCTCTGTTCCATAAAAAATTGTCTGCATTTCCTGTCCTCCAGGACTTCCCTGTAGCTCAGTTGGTAAAGAATCCGCCTGCAGTGCAGGAGTCCTCCTGCAACCCAGGAGACCCAGGTTTGATTCCTGGTTTGGGAAGATGCTCTGGAGAAGGAAAAGGCAACCCACTCTAGTATTCTTGCCTGAAAAATCCATGGACAGAGGAGCCTGGCAGGAGTTGCGAGAGTCGTGCTAAAGCACCATTGTCCCCCACCCAACAATATCATGGAGACCTCCTCCATTCAGGGGTCACCACCTGGTGACTTAGGCTGTAAATGAAATGGATTTATAACCACAGAGACCTCCCTCGTAACTTATCTCCAGGTCTGAGATGAGCTAAGATTAGCTTCAAGTCTGGTTTCTTATAGCAGTAGTGCTTAGCTAGGGCTTCCCTGGTGGCTCAGATGGTAAAGAATCTGCCTGCAGTATGGGAGACCTGGGTTCAATCCCTGGGTTGGGAAGGTCCCCTGGAGAAGGAAATGGCAGCCCACTCCAGTATTCTTGCTTGAAGAATTCCATGGGCAGAGGAGCCTGGCAGGCTACAGTCATGGGGTCACAGAAAGTCAGACACAACTGAGCAACTAACAGTTTCAGTACTTGTGAAGGCAGTCTAACTTGCAGCCTGGTGTAAAAACCTCTAGGGTGCTTAGGCTGCTTCAGATGAGAATGTAGCGGGAAAATACTGAACTAGCACCTTATAGAGTATTTAATGAGACTGTGCTTTGACTAACCCTTCCTGATTCTAAATTTCTCCTTTAGAATTTCCATTCCTTTTCAGTAAATTTCCTCCTCAGTTCAGTAACACTTAGGGTGAAGTGGGTCAGTTCCCTTTAGAAAGAAAGCTGCAAAGGTATCTTGGAAACCCTGAGATTAGAGCTTTGTGGTTAAAAATAACCATTTGATGGCTACACACACCGAGTTTCCTAACTTTCTTGTTGGTTAGCCCTTTTCTCCCAGACCCTGCATTTAAAATTAGCAGCAGAATGCAGGAGGAAGGGAATCGCTGATGATTAGTCTGCGATGAGCCCTTCCTGTCGTGAGGGTGATACTTCCCCTCTCCCCAAGCTCTTCACTGCAGGTCTTAGTCAGATGGCAAAGGGTTCTTGTTTGGTGGTTTCCCTGCCACTTCAGATTTTAGCCTGAAATGTGGCAGGATTTTGCAAGTTACCAATTTTGGGGGGAAGCCTGATGGAGATATAATGTCCAAGGATGATCCTTTGAGTAAATCCTACCAAATAACCGATTCGGGGAGAGGGGAGTGTCCCATTAGCCTGACTATTTCCTTCTAAAAGTTAAGATTTTTAGGTTATCAGTGAGGCTAGTCTGGGGATGTTATATATTGAGCCCTAGACATCAGTGATTTTAGAAGAAAATGAAATGATTCTAAAAATCGGCAAATGGCAATAGAAGTGTGAAAGTAGGGGGAAACCATTTGTGAGATTAATGTTGACAACTGATGTAGAGCTGGGTGACCAGGCAAGAGGGCTGAGAGGGAGCTTTATCACCATAAGCATTTTTGTATTCCTCAAATTTTCAGCCATGTGAATATTGCCTATTCAAAATTTAATTTATTAACAATATAAATAAAAATAAAGTAAATTGAGATAGAGTCAGGTCAGTCTTACATGTTAAGGTATTAAAAGATTTAATTTCAGTATTTCTAAGATGATTATTAATATTAGAGTATTTTGTTAATTTTAACTCACTTCTTCTCAAATCTGTTAATTCAGAAGATGCTTTTGGAGACCATGGGGACTCTGCCAGTCTTGGTGCCGTCAACCCTGCCTACAGTAACTCCTCAATTCCTCAGTCCTCCGGGGGGCTCTCAGAGGAGCCCTTCACCACCTACCTGGATGAGAATCATGACGTTCCTGAGGAGGTTAGTGACAGGTCCTTGGAGGAAAACGTTATTATCTATTACCTAGGGAAAATCTATGAATTCAAAGTCTGCTGGACAACTCAAAATCAACAACCTCAGAGTCAGTTCTGGCAGGCAATCTCTGAAGACTGAATTTTTGCAGTCAGAGTAAACAGAAACTGTTAAGGAAACGAAGGTCCTTGAAAAACAGTTGCCAAGTTGTACTAGTGAGCATTTTTTGATCCAGAAACCGTGAATTTCAGGTTCCCTTTTTTACGGTGCCTTTTGTCCCATTTGGATGGTACTGATACTCTCGCTGGGGTTTTAGAATGAAAGACTGTTGGAAATGGCAAGTAAGAGAAGGGTTGGACTCTTGTTTGGACAGAGTTGACCAGCTTATTGATAAGCAGTGGATAAGATGGCAGTTAAACTTGGACACACCCATATCCAACTTCCGAAATCCTTTGTTTATGAAACTGATATTGTTGCTTTGTATGTGATAAAATAATAAATTAGATCAGCAGTTTGGAGGTGTTAATTTTTTTTTATTTCTCCAAGAGACACTTTATTATTATTATTATTATTATTATTAACTTTTTATTCTGTATTGGCCTATAGTCATTTAACAATGTTGCGGTAGTTTCAGGTGGACCATGCATATGCATGTGTATCCATTCATCCAAATCATTTTGCTTTGTTTTCCTCTCTCTTCAGTACTCTTGTTTTAGCTTTCGTAAACTCTGGGTCTTCACAGGACCAGGACTTCTTATGAGCATTGTGGATCCAGGAAACATTGAATGTGATTTGCAGTCTGGAGCACTGGCTGGTTTTAAGGTGAGCGTGGAATCCTCCCTCTTTCCTTTTTAAACACACACAGCACACCACAGCCTTTTCCTCTGCTCTGCCTGCTGGATATCAGCCTTGGTGGCTTCATGCTGATAATTCATTGGCTCTGACACTTAGGTGGAAAGTACTTTTCCATCTGTTCTTAAATTTTATTTTGTCATGTAGTTGGTTTTTAATTTTTTTCTACCCAGGTAGTTTCCTTGAACAAAAGTGAAACAGCAGATAGGAAAAACTAAGACTCAGAAAGGTACAAGGTGACCTAGCAAGTTCTGTGCAGAATGTGATACAGAACTCAGGTCATTTGATCCCTGAATGGGGTGCTTTCCTAAGTGTACTGTTTCCCATTCCCATCGCCAAACAACCAAACCAAAACTTCCACGTGTCTCATGAGTGTAATGGTGGGGTTTTGTTCTTCTCTAGCTGCTGTGGGTTCTGCTTTTGGCCACCATCATCGGGGTCCTGTTCCAAACGCTTGCAGCTAGGCTGGGAGTGGTCACCGGACTTCATCTTGCTGAAGTGTGTTACCGTCAGTATCCTAGGGTAAGCACTGTTTGTCTGTTACTCATAGGTAACTGTGTGTCTGGCAACCTGTGCTGTCCCACCGCCTCCTCCCGACCCATACTGAAATAGTGGAGGAAGAGGGGATCTGTGTCCCTGAGGACTGGCAGTCCCAAGGGAAATTCTGTAGCTTCTCTTGCTGCTAAACCATGTTTCTGCACTCCTTCAAAATCTAACATGAGATTCACATTTACCAGAAAGTTTCCTTAGAAAAATTCTATGTGAGTAAACACTTACCTTTGACTGTGCCTTCTGGTACCCAGCAGGGCCCAGTTCACAAAGGGGTTGGGGGTGTTCTCTAAAGCTTTGTTTTCATTCATCCATATTACTCCATTACTTTGCATTGTTCATATTTTCTTTTTTGTTTGTCTTTGCTGTCAATCTGAAGTGAGTTTTTTTCTTTTACCAGGGCATGTTTGGCAGGATCTTTGAATTTGTTAACGATGCTTTTTCATTTTACTTTGACCCTGGAGTTTACACTGTCCTCCATAGTTTCTTTCTGGATATTTAGATCTTTCTTGTTCCTGCTTAAGTCAGGAACGGATAGACGCAGGGTAAAAGAGATTATCTTCCAGATTTTGTTATTGGACACCCAATTCCACCACTTTGTCCTGAGTCCCTTTTGCATATCTGTCTTCTTTAACTTGCTTGTGCATTATTATATTAAGGATGACTCCAACCTTTTCATGTTTGTTTTGTCTCTTCAGCTATGGTCAGGATAGATATTTTTTCTACAGTATTTCTGTTCTTTCCTGAACAATATTTTGACTATCTTAGAATCCTCATTTCCCCCAAAGAATTTTAGGATTGTTTTTAGGCAAAAAAAATTAGTGGAAATAATGAGTGGAAATTCTATTTTTCTGTCAAGTGAAATGGAAGGAGAAGAAATTGACATCAGCTGCTGCCCTGACCTTGACTCACAGACTCTGCCGCAAAGAGCAGCCTGGCCCTCTCCAGCAGGGGGCCAAAGCTGAGTTCTGTTCCTTCATCTCTAGGCCTAAAGTTTAATAAAGGACTGTTTATGGATCACTGCCAAAATATGAATTCTAAACTATGGGGGAAGTTCTTTGAAATGATTAATTAGAACCATATCTTTCTGCTGTTTGGTGTTTAGTTTCCACGAATCCTTCTGTGGCTGATGGTGGAGTTGGCTATCATTGGTGTAGATATGCAAGACGTTATTGGCTCAGCTATTGCCATTAATCTCCTGTCTGCAGGAAGGTGAGAGGTTTTTCTTCTAGAAAGTAATCAATGTTTTGTGAGATTTAAAAGCAAGTATAAAAACAAAAGCCCTTCCCAGGTGACTTAGTGGTAAAGAATCTGCCTGTGAAGCAGTAGGTACAAGTTTGATCCCTCGATCTGGAAGATTTCCTGCCGAATGAAATTGCACCCCACTCCAGTATTCTTGCTTGGGATATCCTATGGCTAGAGGAGCCTGGCGGACTATAATCCATGGGGTCGAAAAAGAGTTGCACACGACTTAGAGACTAAGCAACAACATAAAAAGAAAAACACAAGTCATTTTCAATTTCCAAGATATACTCAAGTATTATTTTTTCTGTAAAATCTTTCTGAAACTACCTTCCTTTCTCCTGGCAGATGTAGGCTGTGTATCTTTCATGTTCTCATGTTGGGTAATACATACCTGTGTTATACAATATGTGGCAGGGTGTATTATAATTAATTTGTATGTCAGTTTATCCCAAGTGAGGTCATTGAGAGATAAGACCAATGCTTTTCAGTTTTGTGTCCTGAATGTCTGAAATACTAGACAAAGTTTGAATGAATGTATTGTTTCACTTTGACAAACCTAGACAGTGTGTTAAAAAACAAAGACATTACTTTAGTGACAGGGGTCCCTATAGTCAAGGCTATGGTCTTTCCAGTAGCCATGTACAGATGTGAGAGCTGGACCAAAAAGAAGGCTGAGCGCCGAAGAATTGCTGCTTTTGAACTGAGGTGCTGGAGAAGACTCTTGAGTCCTTTAGACAGCAAGGAGATCAAACCAGTCAATCTTAAGGAAATCAACCCTGAAGACTCATTGGAAAGACTGATGGTGAGGCTGAGCTCTAATACTTTGGCCACCTGATGTGAATAGCTAGACTCATTGGTAAAAGACCCTGATGCTGGGAAAGATTTATGGCAGAAGGAGAAGAGGGCGACAGAGGACGAGATGGTTGGATGGCATCACTGATTGAGTAGGCGTGAACTTGGGCAAGCTCTGGGACATGAGATGGTGAGGCACAGGGAAGCCTGGCGTGCTGCAGTCCATGGGGATCTCAAAGAGTTGAACACAACTTGATGACTGAACAGCAACAGCAAATGGTTTCATTTAGTGCTGTGATCCTAAACTACCCAGGGCCTGGCCTACTTACCATGGATCCATTTTCCCAAGTCCTTGCTCCTCCAAGTGTCAGATATCTAGAGAACTATTGGGAAGAGGGTCATTCTCAATGTTTCTTTTCTTCCCTTAAATCTCTGTTTTTCATCTCTGACCTAGGATTCCACTATGGGGTGGAGTTCTCATCACCATTGCAGATACATTTGCATTTCTCTTTTTGGACAACTATGGTAAGGAGCATGGGAATGGAGGGGTCAATCAGAGGAGCTGCTTTCCATCATGTGATTTACAGGGAAATCTGCCTTCTATGAACTCACTGCTACATTTTCCCCTTCAGGTTTGCGAAAGCTAGAAGCATTTTTTGGTTTTATCATCACTGTTATGGCCCTCACATTTGGCTATGAGGTGAGTATTACAGGCTATTCATTAACTTTATTTTTTTTATTAGCTTTTTAAAACAAGATTTTTGTTCTTTCATTATAAGATACAGTAGGTTTTAACAAAAAGCCAAATTCAACCTTATGCCAATTTTAAAGGAATGAATTGTAGCAAAGATTAGTGTCCAGGAAGGCCTGCAGGGACTCTTAGTTCAATTGATTAGAGTTTCTGGAACTTTCCAAACTAATCTCCCAGGTCCCACGTTGGCCATCCCAATAACAGAGCAGCCTTGGAGAGGGTTAGGAAAGCGGTTGCAGGGTTATTCTGGCTGTTATCTAAACGGATTCTGTTTTTGCTCATCCTGGTTGACAGTAATTGCAGCTTGGACTGTCTCTGTATTGTAGCAATGAACTATAGGGGATACAGTGCATATTTCCTGGTTTGTGCCCCAGTCCCGTTATATTAATTAATATAATAATATATTATTATATATTAATTAATTGATATAATATATATTATTTTATATTATATTATATTAAAACTAACTGCCATTATATGTAGTGAAGTGAAACCCAGCACCTTTCTATGTCCAATTATTATAAATTGATTTCTGTTAATTTCCCTAGCTAATAAGCTTTTAACAATGCATCTGCTCTGAGTAGATGATACACCTTGATCTAAGGCTTCCAAGGGAAATGCTGAACCAGGAAAAAAGTGTGTATGAGAAGTGTTTCTGAGTGAGTCTCAGCAGATGCTAGTGGCAAGCGTAAGTGATTTGTATATACATGGTGAGCATAGAAGCATGGTTAGTGTGGGTAATCAAGAATTGGCTGTATTCTGAGGTGTGTCTGACAGGAGTTATTGTGATACTAATATCAATAAGGTCCTTAGCAGCTGCTTTATTTCTTTAGAATATTAATTACATTCTCTACACATCTATTTTGTATATATAAAATACAATAGGAAATGTCTGGACACTCCAGTCCTAAATTCTCTGCACTGTGCTGCTTGGGTTTTTGGATGGTTCTGTGGTCCTGATGTCCTGTGTAGTTGTTGATGAAGGGGCTTAAGGAGTAACAGATGCACTGTCTCTAGTGCTGTGTTACTCCCCGGTCTCATGTTCCAGTAAAGGCTAATAGCTGTTCTGTTTGTATGTAGTGTGTTACAGTGAAACCCAGCCAGACCCAAATCCTCAAAGGCATGTTCCTGCCATCCTGTTCAGACTGTCATACCCCGCAGATCATGCAGGCTGTGGCCATTGTGGGCGCCATTATCACGCCACACAATATATACCTGCATTCTGCCTTAGTCAAGGTGAGCAAAACCTTTCTTATATCAGTGGCCTGTGTAGTTCATGGGACCTTTTGCTTTCACTGCGAGGGAGGGACACGTAGTTTACGGTTGTTGGAGCCCTGAGGGGGCACGGTGTTTATCCACAGTTTTATCTGTTTTTATCGCAGAGGTGACTAGAGATAACAGACCCCATAGAGAAGAGGCTGAAGTCCCTCCTAAAAATACTGAAGTGTACCAGGTTTCCCATCTTTAAATCTCAGAAGCCTGAATGGACGCCTAGTGGTCCGGGAAAATAAGCCCAACCTGGCTTTTACCAGTCAGTCCATCACAGTCATCAGAGACTTTTGTCATTAAGGTCTCCGGCTTAGGTCTGAAATCAGGTTGTTTTTGTAGGTCAGCGGTTCTTCCAGCCATAGTTACTGAGGGCTCAGAAGTCACTTGGTCACTTTTTCCAATTTGGGGATGTGTGGTATCATCGTAGGGTCGTGACTTCTTACTCAGTGAACCAGGATGTAAGTGGAATCTCACACATTTCATGTGATCAGTTGTTTGCCATCGAGGACTTGCAGTGGACTCCACACTCATGAAATATTGCAAGTAACTTGTTCTAACAATTTTGAAAAAATGACTTTTGCTGTTACCTCTCTAGTCCAGACATATAGACCGAGCCAAAAGGCAGGAAGTTCGAGAAGCCAATAAGTACTTCTTCACTGACTGCTGCGTTGCTCTCTTTGTTTCCTTTATCATCAACACCTGTGTCATCTCAGTGTTTGCTGAAGCATTTTTTGAGAAAACCAACGAGCAGGTGGTAAGTAAGCCGGGGACCTGGGTACTACTGAATGTGAGGGTAAGGAGGAGGCTGATTGGGGCAGGAAAACACAACAGTGACTTGGAGCTCAGGGGAAATAGATCTCAGTGCTGCTTCTAAGTCATCGCTCCAGTCGTGGTTTACACTCTGGGGCCGTGGTGAAGCTCAGCCCATCCTTCCCAGCTTTTGGCTGGGAAGGGAGTTTTCCTTGGACAAAGATTGCCTCTTGCTGTTGTTAGTGGCTTCACGTCTGTTTGCTCTTTCTCATCCCCTTCCCCTTCCTGTTTATCAACTACTGGCTGCTTGCCAGTTCTGCCATTTGGTGATGACAGGTTGCAAGGAATCAACACACAGAAAACAGGATCTGTGGCTAGATAGGCTGTTTTGTCACTTTGAATTCTCTGTCCTCTTGACTCCTGACTGACAGTCTAGTTTTGATGACTCCTTTGTTTCCCATTATAGTACTTCTGACTCCTGTCTCTGCTTTGACTAAGGGCTCCCTATTCTGGGTGTCCTCTCATATTTGCGGCCAATCTCTGCTCTCATCAGAATCCATGTCCAGTTTCTTGCCTTCAGCATCTGTCTCTTAGATGACCTGTGTATGAGCTATAGGAGAGGTCTTCTTCTCTTGAGTCCTGGACTCAAAATTAAAAGTTGTTTCTAAACTGCTTTGGTTCCAGGTTGCGGTCTGTAAAACCAGCAGCAGTCCCCATACTCACCTTTTCCCAGAGGATAACTCAACACTGGCTGTGGACATTTACAAAGGGGTAAACCTGTTCAGTTTTCTGATCTTTGCCCCTGAGTCAAGATTCTTAGCATAGTATTTGGTCTTTTCTGAGGGTTCACTTCAGAGCTCAGCATATTTTCTCTGGATTGTTGAGTATTGTTATTCAGAGGTCCCATACCAGACAAGCCTTTTGGATTATGTGGAAGGAAATATAAGATCAGCTGAAAAGATGAATTGTATCCGTGATTCTTAAACTTATGTTGGTAGCATTTTGTGCTATAGGCGTTAATCGGCGTCAAAGAAAGTGTTCTTAGTAAAGTGGTCTTTTTTTTTAATATTTGTTCTCCTCCCCAATCCCTCACCGTTATGGTTACAGACTTTATTTATTTAGGGCACTCTGTGTGGCATGTGGGATCTAGTTCCCTGACCAGGGATCATCCCATGCCCCCTGCCAGGGTCCAGCCTCGGCAGGATCCAGGGGGTACCCTCAGGATGAACGGTGTCGGCAAGAGAGAAGACACGTGAGACCAGCCTTGATAGGGCCAAGTCTTCGAGGGAGAGAGAAAGAGAGAGAATGACCAGATGGGGGTGCAGAGAGTCTGGAAGAGTCTGGCAAATCTTTATTTTTTACTGTAGCTTTATATTCTAAGTTAGTACATTTTTAGGGGAAGAAAGTTTAACATTACATCATCTTGTCCCTCAGGAAACCAGGATGTTTACAGTAATACGCATTTGCTAAGCAGGCTAGAATGCCAGCAAAGGGGTCTAAATTGAAACACTCCTTTCATCCTGGATAATCTTATAGGATACCGCTGTCCGGGGGACATGTTGATTAATGTTCTAAGTTGATTCTGTTTGGAGAGAAATCGGGGAAGGCCTTCTACCCGTGTCACAGAAATTAGGGAGTAGTCTAATATAGCAAGCATCAGAAAGACAGAGATCATCTTTAAGGTGAGCGCCAGGGCAGCTTTTCGAAATTCCTGAAGTCCTGATCTGCCTTGCTTGTCAGGCCTCCTCCTCATGACCTTGTCATGGGTGGGATCTCGTGTGCTGGCTCCCGGCAGCCCCCCACTTTGGGAGCATGAAATCTTAACCACTGGACCACCAGGGAAGTCCCAGGAAAGTGATCTTTATTGGGACCTCTCTGTCCCTTTTATGCCAGTTACATTGTGAACCTCCAAAAGTAGAATAAATAGTATGTAGCATCTCCAAAATTCATTTGTGCTTTATCTCCATTTCTATTACCATCTTCCAGAATACTGTGTTAAGGAATATAATTTGGGAAATGTGTTGTAGACTTTTTTTTTTTAATAGTTAACATGTGAGTTGAGGATAAAGGCTTTCGGAGCCTAGAGATGAGAAGGAACTAGGCTGAGGAGGAATGGGGACCCATCCAGCATAATTTAGGTTGAAAGCCTCTAGAATGAGGTCAGGACCCGAGTCTCGCTTCTGGGACAATGCCAGCACAGTGCTTGGTAGAGGTGGGTGCATAGCCAGGAATAGAGGAAGTGACATGAAGGAGTATGTTTGAGGTGTTGTCTCAGGTGATCTTTCTCCCTTGCCTCTCCAGGGTGTTGTGCTGGGGTGTTACTTCGGGCCTGCCGCTCTCTACATCTGGGCCGTGGGGATCCTGGCTGCGGGGCAGAGCTCCACCATGACAGGGACCTACTCCGGCCAGTTTGTCATGGAGGTATGTGCTGTTGTGACTGGGGTAGACTAGAGAACATTGCCTTTCTTAATTCCACTTCTCCAAGGTCTTCCCGAACTTCCCCAGACCTTTTTGTTTCCTCTTCCAGACATTCATCCTCCTGTGTTTTCTTCCAGGGATTCCTGAACCTAAAATGGTCACGCTTTGCCCGAGTGATTCTGACCCGCTCTATTGCCATCATCCCCACTCTGCTTGTGGCCGTCTTCCAAGATGTGGAGCATCTCACAGGGTTGAATGACATCCTGAATGTTCTTCAGAGCTTACAAGTGAGGAGAGAACTGGGGTCTCATATCCCATTGAGTCAGGAGGCATTCTGTATTGCTGTTAGGTACCAAGCCTAGTGTGGGTGTGGGGGAAATTCAGAGGAAGAAAGAGACACCTTCTTGGTCTATAGTGAATGCATATGAAATCTCTGGCATCTCAAAGGCTTTTAGAAATGACTTGGTTTTTTTTTCCAAGTCTGTTGAATGAAAATTATAAGCTGTAATTACACAAAGAACACAGTGTTATTGTTTGTTAATCCAAGCAAACACTAAATAATGGAGATTAAGATTGGTTTTATGGAGATTAAGAAAATTTGGCAGATACAAATTTTGTTAAGACATTATGAGCATCATTGATGCTAGGTTCATGCTACAGATTTCCACACAACCCTCCAGCACGTTGTGATGACAGGAATAATTTCTCACAGAATAGGTAACGAAGGTCTGTGGTTCTGTTTTGCTAAGAGTGCCGCTCTCTGGGGTGTTACAGGAACCCTCCATAGCCTTGTCTGATCTTCGTTTTCTCTTTTCTAGCTTCCCTTTGCCCTCATACCCATCCTGACATATACGAGCTTTCGACCAGTCATGAGCGAATTTGCCAATGGACTGTGAGTGTGTTTCTTTTAGTTCCCAAAGATGGGGGTGGGGAGGGTATCTTCATCAAACAGGCCAGTCAGAAAATCAGTTGTAGGGGAGCTATATGCTTTAAGAAGTGATTGCTAGAGCTGCCCCTTCAATCTGTGACTTAGAAAATAGAGACTATTGGGGACTTCCCTGAAACTAAGGTCTCACATAACACAGAGAATGGCCAAAAGTTAAAAAAAAATGACAACATTGTATATCAACTTTACTCAATTAAAAAAAAAAAAAAAGATAGAGATTTGTATGTAACAAAGGAGGGAAAGCACATTGTTTGTTCTAATACCTTTTCTATACATCTTTAAAGGGCATGCGGCATTTGAAATAACTTGTTTCATCTCTAGGGACTCATGACTTTTTGCAGTTTTAGGGCTTGTTCATTTTTAGGGAATTAAATAATAGGGATTATTTGATAGTGTTATTTTCCCTCTTTCTCTGTGTGTGTCAGCCACTCAGCTGTGTCTGATTCTTTGTGACTCATTGTAATTTGTGACCATAAGTCTTCTTCAGGCAAGAATACTGGAGTGGGTAGCCATTCCCTTCTCCATGGGATCTTCGTGACCCGGGGATTGAGCCCAGGTCTCCTGCATTGCTGGCAGAGTCTTAGCTGTCTGAACTACCAGGGAAGCCTTTCTTTCTCCCTAACATTGTGTAACTTTGACCCTTTTAACCTAATCTGGTACATAAGATCTACTTTTAAGTTTATTTTGAAATGCTGCTTACTCATGCCTAAGGAGATACAATGTCTTTTTCCATCTGTGGACAGGGTGGACTATTCCACCAATAATTGTGCTGATTCTTTTTACAGAGGCTTGAGGATCGTGGGCGGTATCATGGTCCTTATCATCTGTTCCATCAACATGTACTTCGTCGTGGTTTATGTCCAGGATGTAGGGCATATGGTATTGTATGTGGTGGCTGCAGTGGTCAGCGTAGCTTATCTGAGCTTTGTGTTTTACTTGGTAAGTCTAGTTGGAAGGGGCAAGGGTGGTCAAGGGGGGCTAACACTCAGAAGAGAAAGAACCCAAAAGAGCACATAGCTATCTATCTTCAGGTTATTGACACAATTTACATGAAATCGTTAAACCAGCTGTGACTAAAGAATATTTTTAGCCATAAATTTTCCCTTGGTTCCTCAGTTTTGTCATTTTTCTGTCACTCCAGCTGATTTCCATTCCTAATAATTCCTGACAAGAGAGTGTAGTATGTTTGAAAAACTCAAAGAAGATGAGCTATGTAGAAAGTAGAGAGTGGTAAAAGATGGGGTTGGAGAAGGGAGCTGTGTCCTGTGATTTCAGATCTTTAGAGGGCAGCACATGTGGATTCACAGCCCTGCCCAACTCTACTACTTAATAGCTGTCCAATGTTGAAATTAGTAAATAGTGATATTCTCTCTTTGAATTATTCTAGAGTTATTAAAAATGATGGTTATAAAACATAGCTCTGTAAAAAAGGAATGCAGAATTATGTATACCTATATAATAAAAAAATTATCAAAAGTCTAGAGTAGATTATGTAAGAATGGTAAGAGTAGTTGCCTTAGGATGGTGGGATTATGGGTATATTCTTTCTCTATTTTCCAGATTTATAATGTGATATATATCAGTGAAAAGCAGTGATAGCTACAACACATCCACCTCCCTGTTCTACACAGGTTTCTCTAAAAAACACAGGGTTCAGGATTAGGGACAGCAGAATTTATACTGTATCTGCTACAGAGAATGGCAAGGCTGGAGAGTAGGAACCCTCTGCTCATCTTTCTAACACTGACCTAGTTCCCATGCCAGTATTTGCCACAGGGTAGGTACGTGATTGGGAAAACATTTTAGTAAATATTGAAAAATTATTACTTGAGTAGGTATAGCGCTTCTTTTTTCCTCCTCAGTGAACCATGGGCACACTATGATTATGATGAGCCTATAATATGGGGACTTACTCCAAGGAAACCCAAGTAACTGAGTATGGTCTTGACAGAAGTTGTTTTAAAAATTCGCAGCAAGGCATTCCCTGGTGGTATAGTCGTTAGGATTTCAGGCTTTCACTTCAAAGTCCCAGACAGACAGACGGACAGACACAGACACCACCGCCCAAAGAAAATGCTGTAGAAGTTAAGGGGATCTCTCCTTTATGCAGATGCGCTGAATTGTTCTCAGTCAGCCTGATGCTATAGGAATTGTTGAAGACCTACTTTTAAGGCCGAGCACTGATTCTGGAGTGAGGTGCTACTGGTTAGTCAGGAGACTATCTCGGTTTTATTAGTCAGTCATTCCCCGTATTGTAAGGAATGTGATAAGCCTGAAAAAAGTGGTCTTCACGGAACTCTCCCAGTCAGATAGAAGAAGCAAACACAGAGCAGTAGGAACAAAGGGAACTGAGTATCAAAATTAGTACAACAAAGAGGTTTGCGTCTGAGCAGTGCAGTGTGGGCGGTGCGGGGGTAGGGGCTCTCCACAGAGTTTGGTGAATGATAACTGTGTTTTCTCTTTCAGGGTTGGCAGTGTCTCGTTGCACTGGGCATGTCCTTCCTGGACTCTGGACACACACGGTAAGCATCTCTGAAGTCCTGCTGACCGAAGCTTCTATCCATGGCTACAGTGAGTGACACTGTCTGCAGGTTCCATCAGAGCCAGTGTGTCTCTGGCTTACTGTGTGAACATAGCCAGACGTGTGTGTTGTACAGACTGCATTTAGGACTCAACTGTTTGTTGGAAAATACTTTGTTTCACATGTTTGAAAGATGGCATTATTTTTCTTTCTGAACTCTAACCTGGGAACTGGATTAGGTAGGATCCTTGACAGCTTGACATCTACTTCTCTCAAACAACACTGAACTCTTTTGCTGCCCAAGGGCCAGCTTCTTTTATCTGTTTGAGGCATAATCCTCTTTGTAAGATTCTGAGAAAGACTGACTATATGTTAAAAAAACTTACTTAGATGATTCAATAAATTTTTTATAATACAAAGTACAGAATATGTGTGCAAGTTTAGTTTATCAAATGACAGTGCATTTAAAAGGCTGAGAAATTTCCTTATGCATACCCTTTGAATAATTGTTTTTTCTTTACATCTGTTTAATGTCTTATCTCCTTTAGTACAATCAAGGGAAAGCAGTTTGTGTTCTTTGATAGCTATACTCCCAAAACCTAAAGTAGTGTCTTAGTTCAGTTCAGTTCAGTTGCTTAGTCATGTCCAACTCTTTGTGACCCCATGGACTGCAGCAGGTTTCCTTGTCCATCACCAACTCCTGGAGCTTACTCAAACTCATGTCCATCAAGTCAGTGATGCCATCCAACCATCTCATCCCTTCCCCTCCTGCCTTCAATCTTTACCAGCATCAAAGTCTTTTCTATTGAGTCAGCTATTTGCATCATGTGGCCAAAGTATTGGAGTTTCAGCTTCAGCATGGGTCCTTCCAATAAATATTCAGGGTTGATTTCCTTTAGGATTGACTGGTTTGATTTTTTTGCAGTCCAAGGGACTCTCAAGAGTCTTTTCCAACACCACAGTTCAAAAGCATCAACCCTTCAGTGCTCGGTTCTCTTTATGGTCCAACTCTCACATCCATAGTAACTACTGGAAAAACCCTAGCTTTGACTATATAGACCTTTGTTGGCAAAGTAATGTCTCTGCTTTTTAATCTGCTCTCTCGGTTTGTCATAGCTTTTCTTCCCAGGAGCAAGCATCTTTTAATTTCAATTTTATTTTCAATTTAATTTACTTTATTTAAATTATAATAAAATTTTATTTTATTTTCAATTTAATTTTAATTAAGTAGTGCCTGACATATTAAGTGCTCAGTAAAGTGTTTATTGCATAAAAGATTAGCAAAGATTTTTGACTGCTACATATGGGCAATGAACTTAGAAATTTGAACAATAATATATTTGGAAAGTGTCACACTGGAATGTTCTTCCACTTAGAAAACCTTAAACCTGTTCTCATTTTTCAACAAGCTTATGAACCTATCCCTCTGATGGACGGAGGTGTCAGTGCCATTGAAGGATATGAGAAGCGATTGTTCCACGTTGCTCTCTCGCCGTACTCCAGAGTGACCACAGCTTTGATTGTTGTAAAGAGTTTGTTTCAGGATTCATCCAAATCCACTACTCTTGGTTTCAAAGCCATTGAGCAAGTTTAGTATTGAAATCTACTAGTGTTGGAGGGTCTCCTCTAGAGGCTTGGGTCGGCAGTGGCTCACTGCAGGGACTAGGGCACTGACACCAGAAGTTCTCTGGATTATTTTAATTATAAAATTATAAATTTTTAATTATAAAAGATTAAATCTCACCTAGGGTGGCTTGATCCATATTAATATAAAATCATGAGATAATCTACCACTATCGGGTTCAGGATTCTTTTAATTTATTTTCACTTTAAATTTCTCAGTGGCAGTTAAGAGGGATGAGAAAGCTTAAAAAAGATGATAAATGGACAGATACCACCACACTTGTAGGTGGTGGTAACTAATCTATTAGAAAATCACTTCAATAATTTTCTTCAGAGATTAAAGAGTTTATCAAATTTTTCTTTGGAGTCCTGATTTTAATAATTCTCGCATTAGTACAGAGCTCTCCTGATGGTATTTCTTCTTGAGCCCTTAGAGTTTGGAAACCTTCCCCTTCCTCCTCTAGGAGGGTTGTGATAGAAAAAGATGGTAGCATTTATGAACTGGTGTTTTCAAGAGATTTTGGGGTAAGGAGAAAAAGTTTGAAAGAAAAGGAGCCATCTGTTTTATTCCTAAAAAAACACCTTCTACCAGAATCGTCATGTTTTTCTGAAGCATGCCCAAGACGACTTGCAAGGCAATCTCAGGAGCTCTGGATGTGAGCCTTGGAAAGCTCGCTCCCTCTGAGCGAGTCCTTTGGTGTCACTATGGTTGCCAAGTCCTCTCTGTAGGGTTGCACTGGGCTACCTCTCTTCAGCCATTCCCTCAGAGGGAAAAACTTTGAGACCAGATGGTGGAGCTCTAAGAGTCAGAGGAAATGGGTCCCTTCAGCATGGAGCTGCTGTTCTTCAGCCACTTCTGACATTTTGACATGTGGAGCCTGACACCATGTGATTATCTCAAACCAAATCACATTGTCTGATGGAGATCAATAATCAGGCCTTTTAAAGCCACTGACTTGGTGAGAACAGTAATGGGAATGCAATCGAAGGACTTTTCATTTTTGGTGTCTTCCTTCTGGAGTGCCTGTTGATTGATGTTCTCTGTTCACCTGAGCCCCTAAAGGCATTGTTTCCAATACTTTGTACACAGTCAAAAGCACAGACTGAATGGACTGTTTTATGTCTCGTTAAGGGTAAACTGGGGCTTCTCTGGTGGCTCAGACGGTAAAAAATCCATCTGCAGTGCAGGAGACCCAGGTTTGATCCCAGGGTTGGGAAGATCTCCTGGAGAAAGGAATGGCCACCTACTCCAGTATTCTTGCCCGGAGAATCCCATGGTTAGAGGAGCCTGGTGGCCTACAGTCCTTGGGGTCGGAAAGAGTTGCATGTGACTGAGTAACTAACACTCACTCACTCACTCAGGGTAAACTAATGTGTTCCACTGACCATACCTTACCTCAACCCCTCCAGTGACATAGCACAGAATCATGAGAGGAAAATTCCCTAGCCATCATTCCTCACATCCCTTTCTCTTCCTAATATCATTCCCTAAACTGGTCACAAGGGCACTCTGAAAATAATTGGTGACTGACATCTTAAGTTCTCATCTGGCTTCAGTAGGTGAGGGCCATGTTGACAAAGTTCTTTGTAAAGACAGTACACTATCATTTACCTTTCCCCAGAGTCTGGGTAGGTCCGGTCAGTCTCAGATTTACAGGTGTTTAAAAACCCAGGTAAAAACTGCTAGTTTTCTTTTAAAAGTTGTTGCAGTCCTGCAGTTGAAGGTCCTGACTTGCAATGATGGCAAATTTCTTCCCAGTTAAGCTGCAGTGTATATCACTGTGTGTGTAGTATTTTACAGTGTTAACATTCCCATGCTATATTCCATCAGATGCTCTCACATGTAAAGTGTACTTTCTGTTCAGCCAATACTTCGGGTACAGTAAACAACATTTAAAATCAAAATCTTCCAGCGCCAGCATATGCACTCTGTGTGGAATAAAACTGCTGCTACAGCATACTGGGAATTAACAGGGATGGGGAAGAGCTGCAGTTTGGCTCCTGTGAAGTCCTGTTAGTGGTTTTAGGAGTTGTTAAAACAAGCTTTTAGTGACACTTAACAATATGTACTCTTAGTTTGTAATTTAAAAGTTTTTTTTTCTTTTCTCAATTTGGTTTCCTGGTAATTTTTTTAACCTTGAAAATACTCTGTTAATGGGTCTCAACAACTTTGAAATACTGAAACATCAACTACCACCTGGAGAACATGTTAGACCCACACTGTTAGTGATTTTTCTCTTTATAAGAGTTAGAGAAATACAGTTTATACCTGGATAACCAGGGATGCTGACCCTCTGTGGAATAAAAAAAAAATTGGCCTGTAATCTATAGTCAGCTCTTCCTATTTATACTCGGCCCTTCATGTCCAGTGTTCCTCTGAATCTGTGATTCCGCATTCTTAAATTTCACCCGACTTGGGATCATGTATTTCTGTGGCATTTAATATTGAAAAAAAATCTGCATGGGAATAGACCCTCATTCAAATTTACATCGTTCAGGCCTCAACATACATTTAGTTCTGAGAACACTGATGAATTGTAGACACCAAACACTAATTTCTACTACCTATTTAGCTTTTGCTGTTCCTAAAGATTACATCATTACCATATTTAAAGTTGAAAAAAATGGTCATTTTGCCTTTCTCTGCTCTAAGCTGAGTGTTTTTCTGTCTGTAGTCTTGTTTCACCATTGAAGTAGGCTTTTATATTCTGTATATGCTGCCAATAAAAAGTATGTGTTATTTGAAAAGAGAAAGGAAAATTGTTTAGCTTAGATATGAAAGCATTTTGGCAGACCAGATATAAATACAAAGACAAAGCTCAGACACAGTAAACTACTAGGCTTGTCACCAAACACACGGCAGGAAAAGCTAAGTCAGCACTTAATTTGTCCCAGGAGTGTCACTAGAACTTCATTTTCCCTTTCTCTGTTGCAAGCTTCCCCTGTATGTCTTACAGGAATTGAATACTGTAAGTTACACCATATAAATTATCTCAGAATTATGTTCTACATGTTGTCCTTCCTCATTTAGCTATCCCTTCTTACTTTGTTTTTTTTTTTTACCTGTGCCATGTGGCTTATGGAATCTTAGCTTCCTGACCAGGGATTGCACCTGGGCCCGTGGCAGTGAAAGTCTCGAATCGAAACCACTAAGCCACCAGGGAACTCCTTATTTGGGTTTAATTTCTGAACTAAGGTAAGATGCATAACACTTTGAAGGTCCTGATTTGAGACATTTCCTTTAGCCCTGCCCTCTGCAGTGCATTCTGTTTCTTCCATGGACAGGACCAGTGAGTCCAGATGTGTCACCTTCTTTTGACGCCTTAGCTTTGGAATGTTAAAAATGACTAACGCATGCTCGTTGGGTGTCTAAGCATTCACGTTTGTGTGTGGGGTGGGGGTGGGGGTGGGGCTTAGTTGTGTCTGACTCTTTGTGACTCCATGGACTGTAATCTGCCAGGCTCCTCTGTCCATGAGATTTTCCAGGCAGGAATACTGAAGCGGGTTGCCTTGCCCTCCTCCAGGGATCTTCTGGACCCAGGGACCAGACTCGAGTCTTTTGCACTCGAGTCCTGCCAATGCAGGAGGATTCTTTACCACTGTACCACCTAGGAGGCCCAAGCACTCACGTGATCTCATGTAATTCTTATAACAAAAGAATATAGATAAGGCATCTGAAGGACCAAAAATTAAAACAATGTTATCACCAGTAAGTGGGCAGTTGGCATTTGAACCTGACTAGCTTAATTCCAGAGCTCATGTTATCATTACCAGTCATCCTGCAATATATAGTATACACTTTGTAGTATACACTTTAAGACACCAAGCTTTGGTGTCTAGCAGCGCCCAGAACAAAGATACTTTTCTTAATGCTCTGATGAGTTCTACAATACATTTTAGGTCAAAAGTTGCCAAGTGATAGGCTCGTTTTGTTTGGCTTGTGCTAAGTTTTCAAAGCACCTGAATGCTTTTTCTGGTAGGTGTAGAAAATGGGCAGGGCCAGCAATAGCTAAGAACTGAGAGTTTATTCATTTCTGTACCCCTGTGCCCTTGAAAGGTTTAGCTAATTCTCTGCCATTTAGCCCCATTTCTCAGTGTTCCCAAGCAATACCACAGACTTCTCCAATGAAGGAGTTTTCTCTACTAAGTCATCAATTGATATAATCTGGAGGTCATAGAACTAAAAATGCAGCCCTTGCTTACTACAAGCCCAACCCACCACCTTAGCTCACTTGAGAATAGTCTGCAGTGAATTGTCCGGTATCTGACAATTGCTCTTGGTTATTACAACCTTAAGTCATAAGACCCTAAAATGTGTGTGAAAGGTGAAGTGCTGTTATTCTGCCCTAAGGCTAGTGTGTTTCAGTAATTCCTAGCCTGATAGTTGAGAATAGTTTTAATCATGGGCTCCATTTTGTCTCATCTTCTCACAGTCATCACAATCCTCTGATGGGTTTTCTTAATGTCTAAAAAAATATCAAAGACCTAAATGAGTTAGGCTTCCCAAGTGGCACCGTGGTAAAGAATCTGCCTGCCAGTGCAGGAGAGACGAGATGCAGGTTCAATCCCTGGATTGGGGAAAATCCCTTACAGTAGGAAATGGCAACCCCTTCCCGTATTCTTGCCTGGAAAAATTTCATGGTCAGAAGAGCCTGGTGGGCTATAGTCCATGGGGTCACAAAGAGGCAGACATGACTGAGCACAGACATACACACACACAAAATGTGATAACTTATTAATGTCCTTGGCATTTTCAAATACACTATTTTTTCTAGTTTTACAAATGAGTAGGATAAGGCTCCAGAAGGATACATGACTTGCTCAAGATCACAGGAGGTGGCAGAGTTGGAGCTTGATCCCAGCCCCAGTGCCTTTTCCACTATACTGTGCTAGTCCATAGGGTCACAGAGTCAGACAACGACTGAAGTGACTTAGCACGCATGCATACTGTGAATCTATTGTGTGAATTCAGCATCCTGCCTATTCATATAGTCTCATTTAATTCTTATAACAAAAAAATCAGCCTCTAAATTACAGATTAGGTAACAGAAAGGGCCAAAAGAGGCTGTTACCAAGGGGCAACAACATTCCTAAAAGCCCAAGTAATACCAGGAGGGCTAAAAGGAGACTCAGTGATTGTCCCATGGTGAATGCAGAGAAGAAGAAAAGAGTAAGCTACATCTTCACAAATGCCAGTAGAAACCATCTGGATTAAGTCTCCAGGAGTGGGTCTGGCAATATGTTTTTTTTGCTTTGTTCTCATATTTATTTTTGATCTGCACTGGGTCTTGGTTGCATCTCAAGGGGTCTTTTGTCGCCATGCTCGGACTTCTCTCTAGTTGCTGCTTGTGGGCTCCAGAGCCAGAGCTTGCTTAGTTGCTCCCAGGCTTGTGGGATCACAGTTCCCTGACCAAGGATCAAACTACGTCTTCTGCCTGGCAAGGCGAATTCTTAACCCCTGGATCACCAGCGAAGTCCCTGGCAATGTGCTGTAAAAGCAGCTGAAGTAATTCTTATTTGGTCTGATAAATGTTTGGGATCCATAGATTGTTTCCTTTTCTCTCAACACATGCCATTTTGTGTTTCTTTTCTTTTTTTAAATGAAAGACTTTTCTCTGCTCAGGTGCCAAAGGATAATAGAGCCCAGATAATAGAGCTCGGGATTTAGACTGTTTCAAATTTGATTTCTTTTTTCTCTTTTGGCTGCACTGTGCAGCTTGTGGGATCTTAGTTCCTTGACCTGGGATTGAACCTGAACCCTCTGCAGGGAAAGCACAGAGTCCTAATCACTGGACCGCCAGGGAATTCCCTGAAATTTGATTTCTAACACACTTGATATTAAGGTATAAAAGCTCACAGTACATTTCCTCTTAATATCCTGATCAGAAACACCCATCCTGAGGTAGAGTATGTCGCAAGAATAGTTAAAAGTGCAAATTTTGTATTTGGCATTAACAAATCCTTAACAAATTTCAGTTCCTGTCAATTATTTGGTATACAGTAAACTATTCATATATCTGTAAGCCATTTATTTTCCAAAGGAAAATCAGTATAGCAGAACTAAGAGCTACTTTTATATGCTGATTATAGGTACCTAGATGCCAATTTTAAATACTTACAAATCAGTCTAACCCTTTTCCATCTTTTTGTCCTCAGTACCATCTGGAATTGACAGTTCAACCTGAATTCTTACCTTCTGAACCCCATGGATGCTGACTCACTTTTATTTACATGACTGACAGCCTGAGGGACTATATAAGACCCACTTTCTCTTAGTCCTTTTGTGTCAAGTGTCCTGTTAACATATCCCTATTTGTTCGGTCGTGAGTTTTGTTCAGATATTTTGAACTAAAGGTAAAGATTTCCTCATAGGGTAGATTTCCTCACAGTGTTAAAGCTGACAGCTGTTAAGGGTAGGTCAGAGACCCGCCCATCTCACAACAGGCCTACAACTGCCAGAGTTAAATGATTAGCCTATGATGGCCACACACCCCTATGGGCTTGTGTCTGGACTTCTGGAATTTTAAAAGTATGTATGTGTTATGTTTGTGTAAACCTGAACATACTCCTTTGGGTAGAGTTTTATATAGAAATGATATTTTGTAATTTTTTTTTTTTAAAGAATGTTGTTTCAGATAAACCAGATATTTTGTTTGAATCACAAGTGACAAAGGAGTAAGAGCACTGTTCTTTTTCAGAATGAGCTGGTCAAATTGACTTGACTTTTAAAGTGATACTTGACTGTGGCCAGTTAAACTTGAGTTGGATTTAATCGACCTATCCTTGGTGACTACTGATACTAGCACATCAATTCCAAAGAAAACATTTCTTTTATTCGGCAGTTGTATTTCATTCTGGTTGCTAGCATGCTCTGTGATTATTATTTTCTTTCCTGTTGTTTTTCTTGAATTTTTCTTTAGAGATATGATGGCATTTTCCNCATATTAAAAAGCAGAGGCATTACTGTGTCAACAAAAGTCTGTCTAGTCAAGGCTATGGTTTTTCCAGTGGTCATGTATGGATGTGAGAGTTGGACTATAAAGAAAGCTGAGCACCGAAGAACTGATGCTTTTGAGCTGTGGTGTTGGAGAAGACTCTTGAGGGTCCCTTGGACTTCAAGGAGATCCAACCAGTCCAAGTAAAGGAGATATGTCCTGGGTGTTAATTGGTAGGACTGATGTTAAAGCTGAAACTCCAATACTTTGTCCACCTGATGCGAAGAGCTGACTCATTGGAAAAGACCCTGATGCTGGGAATGATTGAGGGCAGGAGGAGAAGGGGACAACAGAGGATGAGATGGTTGATTGGCATCACCGACTCGATGGACATGGGTTTGGGTGGACTCGGGGAGTTGGTGATGGACAGGGAGGCCTGGCATGCTGCGGTTCATGGGGTCGCTAGAGTTGGACATGACTGAGCGACTGAACTGAACTGAACTGAATGGAGCTATCCATTTTTAATGTAATGAAGTCTGTGCCTTCTCTCCTTTCCTTCTAGCCCCAAAGACACTGAGTTTGCAAACCCTGCAGCCTTTGTATGTTTGAGCATCATTTTCCTCTTTCAGCTTAAACCTTGCTGCCTTATTTTAAAACAGGACCTTTCAGTAAGACTTAAAAAAAAAAAAATCCAGACGTTGCCTTTGTTCATTTATAATGATTTGATTCTCTGAGTGTCAGGGATTTTTTTTCCAAGATGATTATTTAAAATTCCCTCGTTTCTACTTTGTGGCCTTTGAAATTTCTGATAAGAGCAACAGCCTTGCATCCCAGGTTAGAGAGCTTGTGATCTTAAAAGTAAAACTGAATTAACATCATTTATCAGCTCTTATTTGAAAAAGAGACTTTAAAAATGAATTTCAGAGTTTTAGTTTCTTTATACAGAGACAGGAACTCTAGATGAATCAATTTGTTGGATTTTTCTTCCCTCTCCGGGCAAGTGTCCAGATGTTCATTTCTCAGTCGTTTCATTACCAGAGAATGGGGAAAGAAAAAAGGAAAAAGAATCCTGTTATACAACTCAGGAAAAAGATAAGGTGGTTGGTTAAACAGAGATTAAGTTCTTGGGGGCGTTTCTGTAGCTTATCTCCATTCTTTAATTGTATGTTACTAGGAATAGACTAGAGTTTGCGGAAATTTCTAAGTATACCCCTCAGGTCATACAACTGCTGTAATCAGAAAACTTGATATAAAGCAAAAACTAGATAATGTCAAAACCAGTGGAGGAGACTGATGTTTAAAGAGTGAGTCTTGGGTAAATGTTTTTGCTAAGTTAAGAGCATTTAATCATTATGATTTACAAATCTGGATTTCTATGATATGTACTTAAACAGACAATAATATAATCAATCTCCCCCCTTTTGACCCTACTGGGCGGCGTGTGGGATTCCCCACCTGAAATCAAACTGATGTACACCTCCAGTGAAAGTAGAGAGTCTTAACCACGGGGGAAGTCCCAATATATTCAGTCTTAAGATTAACCTAGATCTATATAGTCACTCAATTCCTAAGGTTTAACACTGTGGAGTCAATTTGTAAAAGGATGCTCTGACAGTGTATACCCAGAGTTTCAGAAAAATGCAGTTCAATAGTGAGCAACTGCTCTGTATTGAATTGAACAGCTGCTGTTACATACTATATTATTGAGCAGCTGCTGCTACATAACTGTGTGCTGGCCTAATAAAAAAGGCATTCAGAGCATACCCAATAGTTTAACTAGTCAGTGAGGCATCAGAGATTACAGCAACCAATGAAAATAGCCTTCTCACTTTTTAAACATTATGATATTAAGCACCAAGCCTTTGCCCCAGAAGTACTGTGCACATTCAGGTTTATATCTATTTATAGGGTCTTCCCTCAATGACCTCCCCTCTTTACCCAAGCTAATGTGGGTAAATGGGCATCCTGCATACTTAGCTTTTCTCCATAAATGATTTTACATTTTAATTTAAGCATAATTGGTGAGCTCTTATGTATAACTACTCAATATTTTTCACTGCTTTTTTCAAGCAAGAATTACGTTACTTTAGTATATTCAGAGTAAGATTATTGCACAATTCTGGAGTCTTTTGGGTTTTGTGAGAAGAGCCCATTTCTGATTAAACATTTTTAATGCTGAGCATATTTTGAAAGAGAGGGATCTTTGTGGTAGCCTGATTAGAAGTATCTTTTCATTGTGTAATCAGTATGAAGGATGACATTCCTATGGCCTCGGTCTTAAATTTTCCTGACTTTCATGGAACACATTGGAGCCAACTGCTGGAATGTTTACTCTAGGGAAATAGAGTAGCTGGATTCTTTCCTTGTCTGTTTTCTAAAGAGGACAGTGTTGACTGAAACATGTATGTCTTTTGGTGGTACTTGAAGAGCTTCATGGTGGGTATGGATGGCAACTTTAAAAATAATTACCCTGTGCCCTAGAGAAAAGTGTAAATAATACACAGAACAGTGAGTTAATGTTGTCTAGAATGTAGATATAATATCCAATATTCCTGCATCTTTCCCTTCCCCAAACACTAGACTTCACTTTCCAGTTAGAATAGTTTCTCCAGTACAGAAAGCATCAAGGAAGAGGAAGACCATATTATAGTGCCCCCTGCCTTTTTTAAAAATAGTGCATTCTTGTTTTTATCTCAGTGGGTACTTTGTTTTTCCCCTTTGGTTTTCTGACCCAGGCCTGGAGTTGGAAGAAATCTTAGACATAGCAGTTATGACTTTAGCAAGATGGAGCTAGTTTTTAGAACCTTTAGGCTTACAGAGGAGCTTGAGGCCTCAGGTATACTTAACATTTATTATCTTCTTTGTTTCTTGTGTTTTCTGCAGTGTCATACCACATCTCCCACAATACTGCCGTTTGAGGGAAAAGGGATTTTTTTTTTTAGCAATTTTCCTTTGTACTGCCAAAAATACTTTCAAGAAATATAAGGATGAATACCCGAATATTTAAATCTTAGATATTTATGTTTGTGGTAAATGAGTCAGGTTTCTTTATAAGGGTGAGGTGCACAGTGGTGAACCAAGTTTTTTTTTAATTTCACTGAGCCCCAGACAGCATGCTACCCAGCACAAGCTCCTGTGCTAGCCGTGTTCACTCCCACCGGGGGCCTCTGGGCTGAACCAAATTTAAATAAAAACATGGCCATTCATTCTCCTCATTTTTGCCCATTCTAAAAAGGAGTTTATGAAAGCCTTAATTAGCTTGCCCTGTTTGGAGAGAAATGAGTGAAAAGAGCACCACGTTTAATACGGATAGTGAAAAATTTTCTGTAGCCATTATATAACTCCTAATTTTCAGATCGATTTGGCATAATATAGATTGTTTTCTGCCACTAACTAGAAAATAAAAATTTTAAAAGTGAGAACATCATGTCCTAGGTTCTAAAAGACATCAACAAAGGTATTTTTGAGTTGACTATGATTATTGATTTGGAAATCAATGTCTAAAACAGTTGAAGGCTATGAGAATTCTAATGGGAACTTCTGCAGTATAATTTGCTACATATTGAAAATTCATTCTTCATAAGGACTTTTCAGAAGACTTCTTATTTTTCTTGTGTGTAATTTCATATTTTGATAATCCTTACAGAGTAATCCTTATAGAGTAGAGAACACCTAGAAACAAAAAGATGTATATCAAAACAAACACTCTTTATCTTATTAATTTTTTGGCTTGGATCATACAAGTGATTCTAAAGGGAAAAAAACCCAAAATCTAAGAGCCCTTTAGGATCAGTATAAATCTGAATTTATGATGTTGCTGTGCCACTGTGAAGTTTAAATTTTAAAATAGTGGTGAGAAGGGAAAGTGGAAAGACTGGCTAGATCTTGAGATTTAAAAAATAGGCACTTAGAAAACATATATTCAGTATTGTACCCAGTATTCTGCATTCAGTACTGTACTCAGTATTGTATTCAGTATTTTGACAAAAAGGAAGGTGAATGGATCATAGTCCCTGCTTCTAGGAATTTACCGTTGATTGGATGAATTAGCTATCTTTAGGCACATGAGACAGATGTACATCTTCCCCAAGGATGAGGTCCTAGGGCCCTGCAGAAAGGGGGATGGACCTGGGAGGATAGCCTGAGGAAGAGCTGATTCTGTGAATTCCAGGGACTTCAGCAAATGTTCATACCCAAAGCAAGATAGGGAGTGGCAGATTTAAAATACATTCCATAACAGTTGTCAAGGCATCAACTATCTAGTAGATTGTCTAAACTTGACATTTACTTCATTTTCCTTCTGCTTTATTTTTGACACTTTCTGTTAAAACCTACTGAGTGAATGGAGCCTAAAGGTTCAGTAAGTTCATTTTCTGATCCCAATCAAATAGAAAAATGAGGTGGATGTCTGCATAATTTTCTAATGAAATAGTACTGTAACTATCAAAGATGCATAAAATTCAAGCCAAAAAATGTTTAAACTTGAATCACTGTGGTATCTATGGAAATAACATTCTCTGTTTCAGAGAGTACTATAGGACTCATTTCTCTGTGCTTATTAGACACAATTATTGAGATACCAAGGGAATATTTTATGCAAAGATGGGCACAATAAAGGACAGAAATGGTATGGACCTAACAGAAGCAAAAGATATCAAGAAGAGATGGCAAGAGTACACAAAAGAGCTATACAAAAAAGATCTTCATGGCCCAGATAACCACGATGGTATGATCACTCACCTAGAGCCAGACATCCTGGAATGTGAAGTCAAGTGGGCCTTAGGAATCACTATGAACAAAGCTAGTGGAGGTGATGGAATTCCAGTTGAACTATTTCAAATCCTAAAAGATGATGCTGTGACAGTGCTTCAGTCAATATGCCAGCAAATTTGGAAAACTCAGCCAGTGGCCACAGGACTGGAAAAGGTCAGTTTTCATTCCAATCCCAAANTCCAAATACACTGCAGATGGTGACTGCAGCCATGAAATTAAGACACT